TTCATTAAAATTATTTAAAAATATATTAAAATAAAATTTTTTAAAAAATAATATTAGCTTGCTTGGTTCCTCAATCAACATTCTTGACAACAGAAGTCAGGAAATCAAAAAACAAATTGCATTAGGAAAATCTACTGTCAGAAACCTCTCCAAAGTGCTAAAAATCAACAAGGTCAATCTAGAGACTAAGGTGTGCCTGGTCCAGGTCATAGTCTTCACAATTACTTGCTATGCATCAGAGAGCTGGACAATTACTAAGAATGATAGAAGAATTGATGCCTTTGAGTTGTGGTGCTGGAGATGAGTAATGAATATACCATGGACTGTCAAGAGAATAAACAGGTCGTCCTGGAAAGAGTGAAATCAAGCTGTTCTTCCTTGGAGACAAGAATTTTGAAGCTCTGCCTCACATACTTTGGGCATTTGGCCAGGAGGCAGCATAACCCTTCCTTGGAGAACGACATCATATTTTGAAAAGTGAAAGGATAATACAGGGGAGGAAAACCCTGAATGAAATGGATTGACACAGAAACTGGGGTAATGGGGGTAAGTGTGTCAGAGACAGTGTGATTGGCGTAGGTTGGAGCTATTGTACACAGAGTCACTAAGAGTCACAGGTGACTCTGTAACACATAACAACAACAAATCCTGCTTGAGGGTCAGCTAGAAGTTGGCTCTGGCATGAAGGCAATGAATGAGTGAAGAGAATATAAACTTCTTTGCACATAGTAGGCATCCATAAGGAACAGCTATTCACCATTAGAATCTTTCAAAGAGAAGCATATTTCTACCCTTTGATCTTCAGGTCTGACTCCTCGTCAGCACCACGGACAGGTCCTGCCTCTGTATCACTGACTTCCTGCCCTCAGCTGACCTTATCCCAGCCTGTTCTTGTCCCTTCCAGACCCTGGCCACTAACCTGAATAGGCTAGTAGGTTCTTAGGGGTGGCAAGTCTTTCCATTTCCCAGAGTTCCACATGATTCCTTGGCTTTCTGCTGGTGCTTTACGTTCCCCATGGCAAGAGAACCAGAAAATGATTCAAATGTTCTTGTGACTCCCTCAGGTCTGCCTACAATGCCTCCAGGGCATGTTAACTATAATCAACTCTCTAAGACACGACAACAGCTAGGCTACTTCGAAATGTGTTAACCACTAATCTACAATACTGCCAAAGCATGTGACGGCAAAAAAGGACTTTTGCCTGGTAACAGCGCCATAGCTCTCCAAGTTCACACCGGCCAAGGCATGTTCATTTCTCTAGTGTAGACCGCCTCTAAACGTGTTAATCATAAGTCTATATTGCCTCCAAAGCATAGTAATTACCAGGCTTTGTGGCCACCAAAGCCTCAACCACTGGCCTAGACTGCTTACATGGCGGCTTATGTGGACTTTGCCCATCTGGGTCCCGCCCACTAGCATCCTGCCCAGACCCCACCTACTCACGGCCCTTATCTTGGTTTACGTAAACCACGCCCACCCGCTGCCTACACACACCCACTCGGACCACGCCCACCAGTAGCTCCGCCCCCCAGCCAAGACCATGCTCACAGTGACCTCTACGCTGCCCACCTAGTTCCCCCCAAGCCCCGCACACTAGACTATGCTCATAGCTGCCTCTCCACCTCCCACCTGTGCCCCACCAGCCTGCACCATGCCCACCCAGAGTCCCTGTGCCCAGCCCACCTGCACCACGCCCCCCCAGACCCCCTGGACCTCACTCACCTGCACCACGCCTGGGGCCTTGTCAGCTGTGGGCGCATCATTGAAGCGGTTGGAGCGCGCAGGGGCCGGCGGATGCGGGCCGTTGCCGTAGAGGCATGAGAAGCAGGGCTCGCCATCGCAGCCGAGGTCCATGAGGAACTTGAGCAGCGACAGGCACTTCATGGCAAACATGATGGTGGCGGGGAAGGCGGTGGGGTGCGTGGTGATGTAGGCGTCGATGTTGGCGCCGTGGTCCAGCAGCAGCTGCATGGTGCGCAGGCAGCCGTGGCGGATGGCCACGAGCAGCGGGTTGAGGACGTCGCGGTTGGGGTCGGCGCCGGCCAGCAGCAGCAGCTCGGTGGCGTGCACGTTGTTGTTGACCACAGCGAAGTAGAGCGCGGAGCTGCGCCGGTCCTCGTAGAGGCGCGCGCGCTCGGGCGCCAGCGGCGCGTTCACGTCGAAGCCCGCGCTCAGCAGCGCCTCCAGGACCACGTCGTGGTTGCGCTCGGCCGCCAGGTGCAGCGGGCTGATGCCACTGCGGCGCACGCGCGTGCGGCTGGTCACCGGCAGCAGCATCTGCACGATTCTGCGAGAGGGGCAAGCAAAGGGATCACAGGGCTGCCTGCACCGGAGGGAACCCGGGCTCCTGAGGGACTCACCAGCCACCCACTCACTGGTCAGCGAGTGGGCAGTGGCGGTGGGCGACGGCAGGCCTGCACGGGGAGCGGGGAACTCAGCCCAGCCACTTCTCCATTTCCCCTGGGGCGCATGGTGGCCCCACCAGCAGAGGGCACGTTAGGACTAGCCATTCCCCTAAGGCCCACACAGGGAAGGCAATCTGTTGCTCTGCCCACACCATTGGAACCTCAGAGAGCTTCAACAGCCCTGCCAAGAACACCAAGCCAGTAAAGACTGGAGCAGGGCTTCCGAGCCAAGAACATGTGGCCTCCAAAGTGGAGTTCTTATAAATCTCTGACAGCCTGTAAAGAAGCACTCATCAGAGCTGCTGTGCGCTAAGGAGTAGTGTTCATCTCCAGCTCAGTTATCTGGAGATTTGACCAGAGGGTCCCCAGAGATCCAGGCTACTACCAGAAGCAGGCAGGAGAACCTAGTAGAGTCAGACCTTGCCCAGGAGGATGGGACAGGCAGAGTGGAGAAGGGACAAGAAGGGCCCGTTATATCTGAGGGCTCTCTCTGTCCAGGGGCCATCTAAGGGCTTCGAAGACATGATTTGAGTTCATCTTTCCAACCCTCAGAGCACATCTCATCATTCCCATTTTATAGATGAGAAACACTGAGGTGTAGAGAGCTGAAGGGACTTGCTGAAGTCAGGAGAGCCCAGCTTCCTCTGACTCCTGAGCTGAGATAGTTATCCTATACTGGGGCCCCAGTAGAAATTCCAGGTGTGACAAGGTAGAAGGGACAAACACATCTGGTCCCAATAATCCCCCCCCCCCTTGACAATGGCCTTGCCTGCTCCCTCTCCTGCAGGTCTAAACTCTGCCCTGCCTTCTTTGGCTTGAACAGCACTGGACAGTGAGCACCGAGCCTGGATCTCCCTGCAGGCTCTACTGGACGCCCTGCCTCCTCATGAACTGCTCTCAGCACTTTGCTAAAGTCGCTGTATTAACTCCCACATCCCTGTGATGTGGGTACTGCTGTCCATTGTCATTGAGTCAGACTCAACCCATAGCTGACCCTCTTGGGGCTTTTCAGAGGCAGTAAATTGCACAAGAGAGGATTAGTCATCTTCTCCTGTGGAGCAGCTGGTGGATTCGAACCTCACACATTTGGGTTAGCACTACTAGGCCACCTGAGCTTCCTAACATGAGCATTCGTAGCCTCATTTTACAGATGAGCAAATGCAAGCTCAGAGAGGGCATGTGACTTGTGTAAGGGTGCACAGCCAGTAAGTGAGCCACAGCCAGGAAATCTGACCTCAGATCTCAAGCAACACGGCAGCTGATAAGTTAGAGACCCGGTAATCTTCATACCCCAGGGAGGCAGCTGTCACATGTCACTGTCACGACAGCTCCATGGGGAGCCTGGGCATGCCTTCATTTTAACACGTGTAGCTCAGAGAGACTGATCAAAGGCCACAGTGCAGCTCTGGGTTTGAGCTGTAGCTCCTGACCCCTTGCCTTTGCTCTCTCTCCCCCTGGGCCCCTGCCAGTGTAATCCACCCAATCCCTGCTGACAGGTGACCTCAAAGCCCTGCCTGGCTCTCCCAGGACATGGCCATGGCGAGAAGCAGGTGCCACCAGGCCCTTTCCCACGCTTCCTGGCACGCTGGCTTCCCTTTGGCGTCTTGGAAATTCGATGCCAGTGACCTCCCGCCAGGATCTCAGTGGAAAGTATTATTATTGTTGGTGACGCTGTCTTTGGCTAAAATCTGCCTCTAAAACCTCAAAAGGAAATTCACACGTTCAGGGGGGCTAATTGCCTCCTAATTTCTGTTTGTACGGCCTCAGGCGGCCTGACCTCTCTCTGGAGAGGTGCTGGTCACCAGCAGGGCCTGGCCCTGGGTCTGGATGGCGGCCACTCCCAATAAATGTTCCGTAACAGCTGTAATGCACCCAAGTCTGTAAGAGCCACTAGCCCGATGGGGCTGGTAACTCCAGCAGGTCACAGCTGGCCTCCAGCCGTTCCCCAGCCAACTACGAAAAAGTGACAGGAATGTGGGAACAGACTGGACGCTGCCTGGTGTCCTGGAATGAGGGAGCTCGGAGTTTGCTGGGCCTGGGTTACACAGCCATGTCTGCTGGACCATCTCAGCATGTGGCTAACCACTCTGAATGACATTGCTTCATCGCGAATTGAACTCAAAGCCATCAAGTTGGCTGTGACTCACAGGGATATTTCTACAGGTTTCTGAGGCTCCTAACAGGAGGAAACACGCTCTCTTTCTACCCCAGAGAAGCTGGTGGATTCAAAGTTGGAGAAGTGGTGTTTCTGATTAGCAATGCAACATCCTGCAGACCAGGCCACCAGGACTTCCTTCTTCTACTCCAGAGGGGTAATTAATAACAGTTACCAAAATGCTATTAATGACCACCACCATCATCATCATTTCCGTTAGATAGCTCCAGGTCCAGTGGTCCCACGTGTCACAGGGCTGTCCCCACGGGCCCGAGTTTGTGGGGTTTTTTTGCAGGAAACCACCAGATTGTGTTTCTAAGGTGCCGAGCCCCTAAGTAGTTTCTAACTGCTTGCCCTATCCAGGGATACCTGCTAGGACTGATCGTCCAGTCAGTTCTAACGCACGGTGACCCTGTCTGTATGCAATAGATTACGTTGAACACTGCCCATCGTCATGACTGTCCCTGTGTGCAAACCCACTGTCAGAGCCGCCGTGTCCATCCACTTCCTTGAGTTTTCCTCCTTTTCATGGACTCTCTACTTTATGCAAAAGGCAGGATGTCCTTTCATTGAGCCCCTGGGGCACTATAAGCATTTTTCTTCCTAAATGATGTGGTTGTCAGGTATCCTTGAGTTGACTTTGACTCATAGAGACTCTGGACAGCAGGTCTGAGCTATGCCATATCCTGTGGCTTCCTCACAGTGTAAGTGTTGCTGTGAGGTTGTGTCAAGTCAAGCACCACTACTCACAGTGACCCTGTGAATGACACGTCTGAACCTTCCCTGTTCTGCCCTCATCAGCTCTGACACATGTTACAGGCACTGTGTCAGTCCACTTTGTTGAGGGTCTTGCTCTCTCTAGCTGACCCTCCACCTGTCCAAGCATGACACCCTTTTCCAAGAACTAACCCCTTTCTAAAAACATGCCCAAAGTGTGAGAGATGAAGCTTGACCATGCGCACTGCTAAGGAGCATTCTGGTTGCATTTTTTCAAGTTCTGTTTATTCTTTTAACAGTTCCTGGGATATATAGTATGCGTTTGCAACACCACAACTCAAAGGCGTTGAATCTTCTTCTTTGAATGTAAAGAATTGCTATGATAAAGTCATTGTGAGCACTGACTCGGTGCCTGGTGCTGTTTGAAGTGCTCACACGTTTAACTCATTTCATCCTGGAAATGAATTTATGGTTAAATACTGTAGTCCCCCTGTTGTTGTTGTTGTTGTTGTTATGTGCTGTTGAGGTGCCTGCAACACATAGCGACACTATGTACAATAGCCCTATACCCTGCTCTATCCTGTGCCAATCTCATTGTCTCTGACACACTGACCCCATTACCTCAGTCACTAAATCAATCCATCTCATCGAGGGTCTTCCCCTCCTGTGCTGTCCTCCACCCTCCCAAGCATGATGTCCCTCTCCAAGGACTGGTCCCTCCTTGCAACATGTCCAAAGTATGTCAGACAAAGCCTCAGAATCCTTGACTCCATGGAACAGCCTTGTTTAACCCTCTACAGGATGAACCAGTTTGTTCTCTTAGCAGTCCATGGTATATTCAATACTCTTCTCCATCACCACAGCTCAAAGGCATCAATTCTCTTTCTATCATCCCTAGTCATTGCCCAGCTCTCTGATGCATAACAAGTAATTGCAAAAACCACGGTCTAGATCAGGTGCACCTTAGTCTGTATACTGACACTGTGGCTCTTCAGTACTTTAAAGAGGTCTCTGACAGCAGTCTTTCCCAATGCAAATTGTCTTTTAATTTCCTGGCTGCTGGTGCCAAGAGTGTTGACTGTGGAGCCATCTTCATGATGCTGCCAATGGTAGAAACAACCTCACAACCCAGAAAGCTGTGGTAACATCAGAGTTTAATAATCTCTTTTCTTGAAAAACTGCTTTTCAAAATAAGAGTCCACTTTACAGCTTAAACAGTCCTATATACCAAACACACATGGAGCTTTTGGGTCACTAGGTCACAGTGGGGTGACATTTGTCAGAGTTTTGTGTAAATTTGATGGCAAACTTTCTTTTCACACAGGAACCGGCAACCCACAGATGACCCTGCTGCCAATGTGGCTGACCTGCTCTGTGCCAAACCTGCTTATGTGTATGTGCACATGTGCAGGCGTGGAAACGTGCATTCCTACAGAGGTGAGGGAGCTCTGCTAAAAAGCTGCACTGCAATTCCAAAGGCACACGGTTCAAATCCACTAGCTTCTCTGAGGGAGAAGAATGGGCAATCTCTTCTCATGTGATTAATGCCTCTCAAAACCTGCTGGAGGGTCAGCTGTGAGTCGGTCCCAACTTGACAGCACACAACAACTATCTATAGATGTGACCTGTGTCGGTTTATGAAGGTGCACCTGATCCAATGCACGATCTTTTAAATTACTTGCTGTGCATCTGATAATGGTTCCTCACGGTGGACAGTGTTGGGTGGAGCTTCCCGATTAAAGCAAGCTTGGAAGCAGAAGCGGTGTCCACATCCAAAATGGCTTGCCTCCAGAAACTCTATGAACAGTGCTCAGGTCTTTTGTTCATCAGGTCGCTATGAGTCGTCTACGACTCAATGGCACCTAACAGCAACAGCAACAATCATCTGATAGTCTAACAATGAATAACGATGACAGAGCAAGAACTGATGATACTTTTCAATTGTGATGTTGGAGAAGAGTACTGAATATACACCCCTGGATTGCCGAAAGAGCGAGGAAGTCTGTCTTGGTAAAAGTGCAACCAGGGTGCTCCTTGGAGGCAAAGATGCTGAAGCCTCATCCTCATGCTTTGGGCTTGCTGTCAGGAGGGCTCAGTCCTAGAAAAAGGCATCATGCTGAGAAGGGTGGAGGGTCAGTGAAAGAGAGGAAGACCTTCAACAAGACAGGTTGACACAGTGACCAACAAAGGGCTCAAGTATGTCAGAGATGGAGAGGATGCCAGAGGGCTGGCAGGGGACAGATGCGCTGTTCACAGGGTCATTTTGGTCATAGTCAACTTGACAGAACCTAGCAGTAAACAACAACACAGAGGTGACACTTGGAGCAATTGAAAACCTGCCACCTTGGACAAGTCACTCTACCTCCCTGCCTTCACATCCTCATCCGAAACATGGAAAAAGTAACAGTACCTGAATAACAGAGATGTTGAATGGAGTAATGTGTCTACAGCATGAAGCACTGGCGTTTCCCTTCTGACCTACTGCTCTTGATCGCCGTGGCTGTGCTCCGTAGGCATTCATCTCATGCTTTCTACCCACTAGGACATTCTCTCTCTTCTTTTCCACCCAAATCGTCGCCCTGGTCCTCCCAGAGGGCAGGCTATTTTGAGTGGGCACCTGGAGGAGGGGCTCACCTGTAGTTGCCCTTCTTGGCGGCCACGTGTAGGGGCAGCATGCCATCCTTGTTGGCCTTGTTGGCGTCGGCGCCCTGGGACAGAAGGAACTCGGCCACCTCCTCGTGTTCGTTCTTGCAGGCCTCGTAGAGGGCCGAGGCGCTGTCGCTGGCCTGCGTGTTGATGTCAGCGCCTGGAGAGGGAGAAGCGCGTGATGACTGCTCAGGACGGTCATGGTCCTGTGCCGGGCACTGCGCGTTAACCACCACAGTGCAGCAGACAGTTCCATCTGAACAGTGAGCCTTGTGGCTACAATAATTAAACGCTTGCCCGCTAACCAAGAGGTCAGAGGTTCGAGTGTATGCCTTGGCTACTCGGGAGAAAAGCACTGGCAATCTGCTCCTAGAAAGAGAAGAATCTACGAAAGCACATTTACTCTGTCCTCCAGGGACACGATGAGCCAGAATGGGCTTGACACGCCCAGCAACGACGACGGCGCTTGGAAGGGAGACGTGAACACTTAAGACCACCCAACTCCCCAGCAAGCTCCCCATGGCTACATGAGGCCAGCGGTCCCCACCTGACCTGAGACCTCTCACAGGTGTCATGGTGATGGACATTACTCAGCACTCAGGACGCACCAGGCGGTACCATACGGTGTCTCATGCCTGTGGTCCCTGTGGGGAGATAGCCTGTGAGGTCAGGTGCAAAGAGGGCCAGGGAAAGACAGGAAGGTCCTTGATGCGATGGACGGAGACAGTGACACAACAATGGAAAAGACTGCGAGGCTGGTTAAGGATCAGGCAGGTTTGCTCTGTTATAAATACGGTTGTACAACAAGCTGGAGGCAGCTCCGTGCACCTCCCAACACCAGCAGCAACTTCTCTCCGTGTCACAGAAGAAAACACGGACGCCCGGGCCTCAGCCACACTCCCAGGCTTCCCTGTTCCCCATCCCTACTTTAAAAGCTACAACTGGAGTCAGATGCCTGGATGGTTGAGACCGTACCCCAGCCTTCACTCCCAGGGGCTTCTCCACTCTCAGAGGACACAGTCTTCGACAGGAGTCAAGCTGTGTCCTTCAAAAAGACAGGCTGCACTCCTACGCTCTGATGAGAGTGATCTTGTTTGGAAATGGGTTCTCTGAAGATGTCATCAGTTAATAGACATTCAGATGACTGAGGGTGGGTCCTAATCTCACCCAAGTGGTGCATTATGCACAAGCCAAATAGACATAGACTCCCTGGGGAAGAGGAGATGTGAAAAGGCACCTTTGTAGGGAAGGGGCACCAGAGTCTCACCTTCCAAAGCCAGGAGAGACACAGAGGAAGGAAGGCACAGCGCGGCTGGGACCTTGACCTGGACTTCCAGCCCCCAGAGCCCTATGCATGTTGCTCTTTAAACCACTCACTTGGCAGTTTTCTTACTGCTACCCAAGCATGCTACAGCAGTCACTAATCAGGGAAAACCCCAGGGTGTTCATCATTGGGAATAAGGACTAAGGGGGGCACTGCTTTCTGTCTCCTTTAAATATAACTCAAACCACAGTGCTCTGAGGAAGGGGGAAGCCAGAGGTCAGACTGCCTTCAGCCCAATCTCCTGAACCTCCTCCATCTCCTGCTGGGTTTCCCTGCCAACAGAGGTGCAGCGGGTTTACCAGCCTCTCCTCCACTCCTCCCACCGGAAGGCAGCAGAGTAGTTCAAGGGCAGAGAGGCCTGAAACCAAAGCCTCGCTAACCACAACTGCATTCTCCTGGAATGTTCTGCTACTTCAGCCTTTCTGGTGAATTTTAAAATGATCAGCAATGATAAGACAGGTTCCGAGTCTAAAGGAAAGACAACAGGATGTGGCTGCATCTCCCCCGTCTGCCTTGGGGTGATAGAGGAGTCAGCAAGGTCACCTAAGAGAATCTTCCAGAAGAGTGCCTGGTGCAGAGCAGGGCCCTGGCTGCTGTCACTCTTAGTCCCTGGCTCGCAGAGCCGAACTGCTCCACGGGACTTTTTTTGCTTTTGTATCTGAAAACTCTATTATACTCTCATCTTATTTACTTGATTGCGCCTTTGCTTGAGGGATCAAAAACATTGTTTCCTTATTATGTGGTAATATTTGCTTCCTTATGGTCTGGTTCCCATGATTTTTGTTGAGAACTCCAATACCATTTTTAATTATCCGCCTTTGGATGTAAGTGTCCAGCCCTCAGTCCACTCACTCTTGTCAGGATTCAACGTTTTGTACAATCTCCGACATCTTATTTTATCTTTGTTTATTTTGCTATGTGCTTATTGTCCCACTTGCCATACAGAGGTAACTCGTGGTCGCTGTGAAGTTGAACACTGTGACCCTGATGTGTCAAATGTGATAACGGTCACCCATGGTGGACAGTGTTTGGTGGAGCTTCCCGATTAAAACAAACTTGGAAGCAGGAGTGGCATCCACTTCCATAAATAGGTTGCCTCTGGAAACTCTATGAATCTGGAGAAAGGATGAAAGTTATACAAGTAAGTGTTCAGGTCTTTCATTCATAGGGTCGCTATGAGTCGTCTACAACTCGACGTCACTTAACAACAACAACAACTTATTGTCCCAGGGAAAACATTTTATGTTTTCAAAATCTAATTGTCAGGCATGTCTCCGGAGGCGCCTCTGAGTGAATTCAAGTCCTTAATCTTTATGTCACTCAAGTGCTCAGCAAATGACAATAACTTATCCAGGGTGGAGAGGCCGGCCAGGGAGGCTGGCTCTGCCCTCTCCCCAGAGGGGGCGCTAGAGAGCAAGGTGACTTGTCATTTTCAAAGTCCGGCTCTTTCAAAGGTCTGGCATCTCACTCTTAAGTATAATTTTTTTTCCACATAAGAAAACTACTTCCACTTAATTAAACATGTCCAATCCTGATCAACTCCTCATAATTTAGGGACTAGTTTCTCACAATATCATTCTGAGCATAACACTTCTTCTTTGGACTCTTTCTTCTTACCATCTTCACCTTACCCGGAGCGTCAGCCGATGGGACCAATTCAGTGACCTTTTCTAAGAGACCTGTCTTTGAAGAACTCTCTCACATCAGGAGCAGGGTCTATACCCTTTCTGTTCCCTTCCATACTGCCTACCCACAGTGCAGTTCAAGTGATCAAAATGGAAAGTTTTGTTAGCTTGCTGACTTTCAGCATGTTGACAGGTAGTTGACAGTGTGGAGACATAGAGAAATTAATGTTAAATTCTTTTTTTGTCATTTAGGGACCAAACACAGTGTATGCATATTTGTTCTTGGTATGTGGTCAATAAATTCACTCATTGCTGTCGAGTGGGACCCGAACTCATGGCTGGCCCTCCAGCGGGTTTTCTGAGGCTGTAAATGGGACGGGAGGACATTGCCCATCTTTCTCCCTCAGAGCTGCTGGTGGATACAAATCATGAAAGAGATGCCACCCTACGTCAGCACAGCTCCCCATGGATTAGACCACCAGAGCTCCCTCTTAAATAAATATATACATTAAAATGAGCCTGGTCTGAGGGGTGGGCAGATCCTGCCTCAGGTGTGAGCACGAGACTGGGGTAGATGATGAGTGTGGGCTAGCTCTCCATGCCCACTGAGCATCCAGCCTCCAGACCCTGCCTGTGTCCCGTTGTTCGTAAGCTGGCCAGTCTGTGCTTATCTTGGGTCCGTTTTCCCAACTGTGCCAAGAAGTCAGCTTGGCTAGACACTGTCTTCGCTGTTAGCTCTCATGGGTTCACGGTGGAGTGACAGGTTGGAAAGCACGTGCAATTTACAGCCAGAGGAAGCCAGGTTAGAATCCAGGCTGGGACTGTGTTAGACCTTTGGCTGGTCGTGAACTCCTTATTTACAAAATGGGATGAGAACATCTTCTGCTCTGTGGGGCTGTGGGGAAACTCTTGTGTCTGTGTTTGCCCCAGTCTGGCACGCCATTGTTGTTGTTGTAAGGTGTTACTGAGTCTCCTCTGACTCTATATGTAATATAGAATGAAACACTGCACTGTCCTTACAATCACGCCATGCTTAAGTAGTAGTAGTTGTTGTTAGGTGCTGTTGTGTTGAGCATGATTCATAGAGACCCTCTGAACAACAGATCTGAACCCTGTCCTATCCTGTGCCATCCTCACAACCTTGAATAGTGCATAACATACTGGGCTACTAACTGAAAGGTCAACAGTTTGAGCCCACCACTGGCTCTTGGGAAAGAGATGGACAGTTTCCTATGAAGACACACTGCCATGGACACCCAGTGGACGGTCTTGAGATGCTGGGACCCACTCAGTGGCAACAGATTTGAGTTTTCTTCTGTTTTACTGAGGATGTTGTCTAATCCGGCTGCAGGCTCTGGCTTCCTTTTGTTCTCTGGAGGCTTAATGGAAAGCAGTTTTGCTGCCAACCCAAAGGCACGTGGTTCGAATCTACCAGCTGGTCCGAAGGAGAAGAATGGGCAACCTCCTCCCATGTGATTTACAGCTTCTGAAAGCCCGCCGGAGGGTCAGCTAGGAGTCAGTTTCCCTTCACTGATACATAACAACAACAACAACATTACTAGAGAAAAGAACCCTGGTGTTGAAGTGTGTTGGGCTGCTAACCAGTAGGTTGTTGGTTTGAATCCACCAGCCAACACATGTGAGAAAGATGAGGTGTTTTCCCTCTTGTGCAGATTTACAACCTCAGTCGCCTGATGGATGGTGCCCACGGGTTAGAATCTACTCATTAGCAGCAGTTATTGTTGGATGTATGTGCAGGTTACTTACCATGAAGCCAGAAAAGAGTTCAGTGGGGCTTTTTTCAGGAGACCAGAATATAATACCAGGATATAAGAGCTTTGTCTTGGATATTCTACTAGAATATTCTGATGTGGGCAATATTATTTTTAACTTCCCCAGTTAAGTGTGTAAAGATATTTCACAGACAGAGTCCCAGGACCTGGGTTCAAACCCCAGCTCTGCTACCAGTTTGCTGTGGGACCAATCACTTTCCCATTCTGGTTCATCGTTTCCTCACCTACAAAGCGAGGACGTGACCTAACTGTTGTGTAAGGCTTCTTTCTGGCTCTGAATGTGACACACTGGAAAGGGAAGTGGTTAGGGTGTCAGGAGCCCCGGGGTCTGATGAGTCCTACCACTAATTTGCTACATGACCCTAGAGAAGTCACTTCCCTTTTCTGGGCTTCAGATTCCTCATTTGCAAAACAAGGATGTTGAGCTAGATGGTTGTTGGCCTTGAAGTCAAAGTCAACTCCAACTCCTAAAAACCCACGTTCACCAGAGCGAAGCTGCCTGATCCCGCACTGCCCCAGCCTCACAGTCTCCGCCATGTTCAAGCTGATCATTGTGACAACCCGCCTCATCGACAGCCTCCCTGTCTTTCACTGACCCTCTGTTTTCCCAAGCACCTTGCCTTTCTCCAAGGACTGGGCCCTCCTGACAACATACCCAAAGTAACATGTTCAACTCCTCAGCCTCTAAGGGGCACTCAGCTACGCTTCTTGGAAGACAAATTTGTTTGTTCTTTCAGTAGTAGTTGTTGTTGTTGATGATGATGATTTCCATTGAGTCGAACACGACTCATAGTGATGCTATGAGCCAAGGGCCTGAAGCCTTTCAATAACTATTGTTTCTCAAAGTTCATAGTTTCCAGAGGCATGTTGTTAGGAAGTGAACGCCACTTCTGTAGTAGTCTGTGGTATAGCCTATAGTCTCCACCAATACCGCAATTCAAAGGCATGCCCTAGATTGCTGCTGTTGTTGTTAGGTGCTGTTGAGTCAAGTACAACTCTTGGTGATCCTGTGAGCAACAGATCTGAACCCTGTCCTATCCTGTGCCATCCTCATCGTCTCTGACACGCTTGCACCCACTGCTGCAGTCACCGTGTCAATAGATTTCTGTTAAAGTCTTCCCCTATTTGCCTGATCCTCTACCTTTCTAAGCATGATGGTCCTTTGCAAGAAATTGCCTCTCCTAACAACATGCTTGGAGGTTAGGGTTTTGAAGCTCCTTCTCACATACTTTGGGCATGTGGCCAGGAGGGATTGGTCCTTGGAGAAGGACATCATGCTCAGAGGGGTAGAGGGACAGTACAGGAGAGGAAGACCCCGGATGAGATGGATTGATACAGTGACTGGGGCAATGGGGATTAGTGTGTTGGAATTAGAGAGACTGGCTCAGGACAGGGCAGGGTTCTGAGCTGCTGTACATAGGGTCGCTATGGGTCGCAGCCAACTTGACGGCACATAACAACAACAGCGTGTCCAAGTGTGAGAGATGAAGCCTCCTTATCCTTGCGTCTAAGGAGTGATTATAAACAGGTAACATATGTTACCTTGCCTCTAAGGAGTGATTATAAACAGGTAACACATGACCATCACTTCCCGTGATTGTCCCAACTGCAGACATCACAAATGGATCCTTGCATTCTTTCCCCGAGTCTTGACTCTACCTCAGAATTCTCCTTAGCCCCATACTCCAGAAAGATGCCCTTAGAGGGGAGCCCCGAAGTCCTTCCCAGTGGTGCCCCGCATGATTCTATGACCCAGGGACCCTTGGTCACTCACCATGCTTGGCCAGGAACCTCAGGGCCTCCAGCTGCCCGCTCTGGGCGGCCACGAACAGCGGGGTGATGCCATACGCGTTCTTGGCCTCCACCTTGGCACCCCCGCTCACTAGGATCTCCATAACCTCCAGGTCGTTGCGGGAGACGGACTCGTGCAGCGCCGTCCAGCCCCGGTTGCAGCGGTGATTGGTGTCCGCGTTGTACCGCACCAGGAGCCGCACGGCCTCCACGTTCTTGCGCTCACAGGCTGGGCCAGGAAGGAGGGAGACGGTCAGCAGGGGTTCTGGCAGGACCAGCCATCCAAGACAGTATTCGCTAGTTCATGCACTCACTCATCAGCCATCCAGTCAACAAATAACACCCTGAGTCCTTGCTGAGGTCAAGGCCCTGCACCAGCCCTGTTTGTGACACTAACGCTGATTCTAGCAATCGGCCCTTCTGACGTGTGTACATGGCTGCTGATATGCCAAGTGCTGGGACCTAAACATTTTACACACGTTAATAAAAGCTCTAGACCTCTACTAAAGTGTGTACGGGGGTCCCAGGTGTATGAGGGGTTATGTTTTGTCAACTCTGGCATAATTTGGTTCTGATTTGGGTTGTATCATTATTGTTCTTTTATTGTTGTTGTGTACCGTTGAGTCGGAACAGACCCATAGCAGATCCTCCAGTGGGTTTTCAGAGGCAGTTTCAATCACATGAGAAGAGATGGCCCATCCTTCTCCCGCAGAGCAGCTGGTGGCCTCGAACCGCCTGCCTTCAGGATTGCAGCACAACTTCTTACCACCGGGCCACCAGAGCTCTTTTATTATCAGTATCTTTATAGACCCAAAGGCGTTCAAAAAGAATGAGGGCATCAGCAGCTTACATGCTGCAATAATAAATGTAGTTCTTATTATTAGTGAAAAGACATAGAAAACAAAATAAGAGAGTGGTCCCAAGTGCAATTTGTCGTAACTGGAACGTGTACGAAGTCTGAGGCCCCCTATAGGCATAAAGAGCTACATGCGCCGTCTCTTCCTCGTACCCATAGGTTGTGTCAGTCTATCTGCAAGGGGACTGGCTAGTCTCGCTATTAAATGGAACAGATTCAGGTGAGCTCTGGTGGCCTAGTGGCAAGAAGCTGCAACTGCAATCTCAGAGATGCACAGTTCGAATCCACCAGATTCTCTGCTGGAGAAGGAGGAACAATCTCCTCCTGTAGCAGTCAGATCTGATTTGACAGTACACACAAAAAAATAACAAAATAAAATAAATTTTTAAAAAGGAACAGATTCAGTGGCACAAAGTGAGGCTCTCACCACCAGGAAAGAAGCAGCATCAGGGAATGTACTAATAGTCCTTTGGGACCAGAGCTTCCTGAACCAGGGATTGTATCTTGCTGTTAACTGAGAAAGAAATGAGAAGCTTCTCTAAACTGAAGAATTATATGTTGTTGTGAACTTGAACTATAGCTTGTTAGGGAGCTCGGGTGGCCTAGTGGTAAGAAGCTGCCCTGTGGTCCCAAAGGCACGTGGTTCGAATCCACCAGCTGCTCTGCAGGAGAAGGATGGACAATTGCCTTCCCTGTGATTTATTGACTCTGAAAACCCCCTGGAGGGTCAACTATGGGTCAGGTCTGAAATGATGGCATGCAGCAACAACAACAATGCCCCTAACAAACCCTATTTCTATGAATATGGTCCTATCAAGTCTGTGGGCCACTGTGATCATTCATTCATTGTTGCACATTTTTACTGTGATCATTCATTCATTGTCACACATTTCCTCTATACCCTCCCCAATTCATTTTTTTCATTGTTGCATAATTTCCTCCCTCCCTTCACCCCTTCCCCAGTCCACTTTTCTGTACACCTCTTATTCTGGGCTGTTATCATAATAATAATGCCTAATCATATATCCCTTTTAAACAGTTATTGCCTTGACCAGTTCCAATGCAGTGTTCATTATTTATCCCCTCTTTTCTTAGTTTCCACCCAATCCCCCATGTCAGTCCTGTTTTATAACAGCGGTGTTATGCAGTATTTGTCCTTCTGTGACTGATATATTTCACTTGGCATAATGTCCTCCAGGGTCACCCATGTTGTGTAATAGGAGCTCCTTGCTTTCAGTGCTGCATCGTACTCCATTGTGTGACTGTACATAGTTTTTCTATCCATTCGTTTATTGATGGGTACTGTGTAACAGATTTTGAACCCAGTAAGTGGGTGCAGGACCATGAGAGGACATGTCTGACCTCAGGGAATTAGTTGCATGTTGTGGATTCTGTTGATGGAGGCAGTTCTTCTTGTGGAGTTAGTAGAGGCTGGACCCATGCATCTCCCTGCTGCCAAATGCTATACTTAAGAGTCTCCTAGAATGTTCCAGAATTTCCCTAACTCCTCTCCTTCTCCCACGCCACCTGCTTTAATGCTCCACAACACCACACCCAAAGGACTCTTCTAGGTGCAGACAGTGCCTTATCCCTGGTCAGTGCAGACAGTGCCTTATTCCTGGTCAGTGCAGACAGTGCCTTAT